TTTTTCATCCTCCCCTGTATCCAGGCCATTGACAATGTTCTTTTGTGTTTGTTCTTATTGACAAGTATATGTTTGCCAAGACTTGAATCTAGAATGGCTTATATATTACAGTATGTAAATGTACTGGTATAATGCCTACGCCTAAAATGTCTTGAATTCTCCCTGATTTTTTATTGTAAAGCCTAACATCTCAAAGTGAAGAAGCTCAGATTAGGCTTAAGAAGGAGAAGATCTCACATGAATGAGAATGAAAATGCCACAGTGGACCACAGGGCTACCATATTTAGTAGCAGAGTATATGCCTAAAGGAGCCTGGATGAAATCAGAAGTATAGCCCAGCTAAACCCAGTCTAAATTGGGCTTACCCACTTACTGATCATTTTAATCCTGAATTATTCTATTTGGGATAAATTCTAATATTTGATAGCTCATCAACAAATATACCCGATGGAAAAAGGGTGCCAGAATTTAATACATGCTGATTTCAAATTAACTGAGGAGAAATAGGTATGAAGAAATACTAATTTTATTTTTCCTGATTTAATGTTGAAAGTCCTATTAAATGATTTTTAATTATGTAGACATGCATATATACATGAAAATATGTTACTRGTATTTAAACTCACATCATACTCTATACCAAAACAAAACAAAACAAACAAACAGCAATAAGAACAACAACAAAAACAGACAACCATAGCACACATCTAGGGTGAAGGCCCAATGGCAAAGTAAGAAATTTTAATCTCTTCTTTCACATCTAAATTTTAGTGTCAAGTCATAGACAGATCTAAAGACATGAGGGGGGGAAGTAGGTTGACTTAGCCGGAAGGGGACTCCTTCTCCGGCGGTAGTGTTGATGTATTTGAGTTGCTGCTGCTTCTGCGACTGAGGGAACCGTAGACAGAAGGATGGTGTGCGAAAAATGTGAAAAGAAACTTGGTACTGTTATCACTCCAGATACATGGAAAGATGGTGCAAGGAATACCACAGAAAGTGGTGGAAGAAAGCTGAATGAAAATAAAGCTTTGACTTCAAAAAAAGCAAGATTTGATCCATATGGAAAGAATAAGTTCTCCACTTGCAGAATTTGTAAAAGTTCTGTGCACCAACCAGGTTCTCATTACTGCCAGGGCTGTGCCTACAAAAAGGGCATCTGTGCAATGTGTGGAAAAAAGGTTTTGGATACCAAAAACTACAAGCAAACATCTGTGTAGATGTATTGATGAAGTTACTGGCTTTCTGTGATTTTTCTT